TAATTTTTTAAACTCTCAATTAACTTTTTAATTTTTAAATTTGAAATTAATTATTTGTTTAGCTATTACGGCGCGTTTGGTTTGATTCATTCTCATATAATTCCAAATGCAAGTAAATTTCTTAGTTTGAGGGAACTTTCATTTTCATGGAATTAGAATCTCATACTCTCATTGGTATTTCAATTGGGTTTATAAATTAAAATAATAATAATAATAATAACTTTTTTTAAAGTCAAAATGAAGGGGGATACCCGTATTATTACGAAGAAAAATAACTTTGGGACAACATTACCTCTATCTTTTTTTAATTTAATATCTAACATCTTCCTATCGATTGCATGAAAATTAATTACAATATGTCACGTAAATCAGTGGTATTTGAATATATTTTTTTAATATGTAAATGTGTCTAAGAGATGCTTGTCATTTAATAATAATAATAATAATAATAATAATAATAATAATAATAATAATAATAATAATAATAATACATATGTGCATTTTGAATTTTATACTATTTATTCCTCCCTCCAACAAAACGCCCCGTTAAAAATGTGTTACTCTTATTTTTAATCAACCAGATGCAATCTAAGTTGGTTTAGACTAGGACTGGGCACTTCGAGTCTCAGATCGGTTTTTTCGGTTTCGATTTTTTTGGTTTTAAAAAAACTAAAACATTCGGTTTAACAATAGAGTTCGGTTCGGTTCGGTTTTGGTGAAAGTCCACTATTTGAACGTTTATTTTTTTGTCTGATCGATTGTTCAGTTGGCTCACTTTGAGTGCCACTTGAAGTGTTTTGTTGATTACAAGATGAAGAATCATCTATCTACATAGTTAATATTTGAAAAATTAGAATTATTAAATCACCAAATGTTGGGACTTACGACTTAGAGTTGAGGTTTGAGAACTTGAGGAGTTGAGATTATTAATTATTATAATATTTATACATAATACTAGCATTTTGTACGCGCGATGCGTGAAAATTTATGCCCAACATTAAAAAATTGATAAATGCAAACAATTACAAGTTATAGTTCAAATTATATTTCAGAATTCCTTGAAATAGTAAATTTTAATCATCGTATTTGAAAACTATAGAGATGAACAAAATTTATATATTTTTTTTTATTAATAATGTAAACAATTTTGATATAATTTATACTTTATTTTTACAATAAATAAATAAAATATCTATAATACTAATCTAGTACTCGGTCACATATATTGGTGTGTGTGTGCCTCTATATATATATATATATATATATATATATATATATATAAAATTTATTGAACTGCTGAAAAATGTAAAGAAGCTTGGATCTGGAGTTGGAGATGGCGAGGGACGGTGGTGAAGGAGGAAGAAACGTCGGTGAAGGGCCGGAGGAGATTGTGGCTGTGGAAGAGAGGTAGGAAGAGGTGTCGGCAACGGAGGAGAGGCCGAAGGACAGGCGATTGAGAAACGGTCGAAGTAGGGGAATAAATGAGAGGAGGCCGGCGCCGGCCTCTGCAAAACGAGCAAAGTCGGCAGCCGATTAATGGAGGATGAGGGAAAACCCTTGCAGAGAGAATATTCGAGTTAAAAATGTCAATTTAGTACCTTAACTATGTAATTTTTATCAATTTTGGTCACTCTGGTCAAATTGCTGACCAAATTTCACCAAAAAAATTTAACAGTTAAAATAATGAAGGTATTTTAGTCATTTTACTTGTTTATTCTTTCTTCTCCGACGGTCCATCTCTTATCCCCAGCTTCCGGCAATCGGAATGTTCAAAATCAAATTGGCATCTCGAACATCAAAAATATTCATAATACGATGAACATCCCAACCCGTACCTTGGGCATTAAACAAAATAGCCACCGGTGCTTCATAATATGCTTCGCACAAGGGAGTGATGATATACGACTCATCCTGTATAGGTAGCCATGCATGTTTCCCTATTAAGTATTAACGTATCAAGACCATTCCCTATACTACGCTTACATCCTTCTCGTAGGACATTCTTGACTTCAAGCATACCCCTCCATTATATATATATATATATATATATATATATATATATATATATATATATATATATATATTAAAAAACTATGGCTATTAACATACCAACTTATAATAGATGTAAGAACGTAAGATAAAATTACACTTAAAAAAAAACTACTTTGTAATAAATAACATGTTCGTACTAATAATTAATAGAGACCGATAAACCGTGATAGTTTTGTATGTGAGACAAATTTTAATTTATATTAATTCTTTAAGTAATAATGTCACAATTTGTGTAGTCACAAAATAGACTTTCTCTAACTACACGTTTAAAATCCCATTGACCATATTTTGCTCAAAAAAATTACCTTATAGACTTGGTCATTCTACAAAATTGTGTTTTGGTCTAGAAAATGTAATCTCAAATGATTCAACCCAAAGTTTAGAGTAACTGCAGAGTGGTGTGATCATATGAGCTTCCACACTCCATGTGGCCTACACTTTGCACAACTGCGACGCGTGTCCTCTTTTCTCGTCGCTCACATCGAATTAAAATGTGCTCAATCCTAATTAAAAATGTGCTCAATCTCAAAAGGTTGAATCTCCAACTCCAAGGGTCCTTCACACGCCGATCTGACAGAGCATTTAGAAGGATGTAAATTGCAATGACTCTTACTGAATCAATGAGCTAAGTCCGCAGGAACAACTAAGTAAAAGTCTTAGACGATAGTTATATGCTCCACACACCAGACATTAACTCGGGCGCAACTAATTAATAACAGCATTCCACCACTCACAATGGATACTCAATGCTTCAATTATTCCCAGCGCATTTCAATTTGAACAAAACTGAAGAACACCCAAAGTCCATCAAAGAACACAAGATTGAACAGGTTCCTCTTTCATTTTCTTTTTATTTTACACCATTCATCACTTCTTATACTGAACATAAATATCATCACTGTACTGTTTATCTTTCATTTCATCATCTCCCCTGTTAGGTATTTTGTTTATGAAAGTTACATTCTGATTAGGCAAAACAACAAGGATCATACAAAATGTAGTCAAAATTAAAATAACCTAGATTTCTTTCGGAGTTTACTAGGTAGGATATGCTAGTCCAAGACAACACACATGAACAATGTAATCAAAAGCTGTAACTTGAAAGGTCTGTTTCAACAGACCCTCCATTATATCAATAGAATTATAGTAAGTCAAATTCAACTTAGGGGTGTGGTTGAGTGTTAGGGACTCATCAATCTTTAACCAAAAGACAAGGGTTCGATCCTTAAATCTCCAGGCCAGTGTCCAACTAAAAAGAGGTACTTACAATTCAGTGAGGGGATTAGTCACTAACAGTAAAAGCTCTGGGTACACCCAAAAAAAAAAATTAGTAAGGCAAATTCATTTAAATTCTTGATTAAGATGAAGGCCCAGGCAGCAAGCTACCTTTTTTTTTTTTTTTTTTTTTTTCAATAACGCCAAAATTAGTAAGGCAAATTCATTTAAATTCTTGATTAAGATGAAGGCCCAGGCAGCAAGCTACCTTTTTTTTTTTTTTTTTTTTTTTTCAATAACGCCTCCACAGGCTCTAACTCATAACCTTCCAAATGGAAGTCCAACCCGAGTACCATTAGACCACATAAAGTCTTGATAGGCAGCAAGCTACCTAAAACAGCTTGCTTTTGATAATAAAAGCTCCTAAAACAGCTTGCAGTACGCTGGATATTACTTAGAGAAAGACTGTCATTATGATCCCTTTGTAGAATTTTCTCTCTAAAACTTATGGTAAAAATCTGTGCTTTAATTAAAAGATACCCATGAAATCTTCTTTTATAGCTAACTTATGGATATCCCTTTTATACCCATAAAATGCTTGCTTAAGAGGTTAGACTAGAATTGATGGGGTGTGCCAGGCCAAGGTAATAGTGCAACACCAAGGCGACACTCAAAGGCCCAGGCAGCAAGCTACCTAAACGGGCCTTTACCCTATAAAAATTGAGTTAATATCATGTGAGCCAATGGCTCACGTATCAGATATTAAACTGATAAGAACAGATACTACACTTGATCTTAGCCAAAAGGCCGAGAAAGGTATGCTTTAGTCCATCAATTGCCCACTTCTTTTATATTGCTCAAGCATCTTCACAGTCTTTCTACATTATCGATGTGGGACTTGAGCAAAAATTGGGACAATATTCATTTGTAGTGCTGATTAGTGTATTCTAAATTTCTAATATGCTAAGAAAATTACGGAAAAATAGTTGGGCAAAGTCTTGGAAGCTATGCAGCAAAGTCTTGAAGATGACTCCATGGCTATTTGGTAGTCTAATTCTCACAAAGATGCAATTTGTCTGCATTTGCTATATCCAAAATTGTTTCCTTGTGTTTGTGGGGAATAAATATTTTCTCCCGGTCCAGCCGCATATCTGGTTGCGCCTATATTAACTCTTCTATTCACTCTGTCTGCAGGTGACATACGAATAAGATTTTTGGTTCTAACTTGCTTTGGATTCTAGGTTATTTCTCAACGACTATGCGAATAAGATTTTTTTTTTCCCATTGTCTATTTATGGCAGTACTTAAATACTCATTTTGGTGAAAGATATGAATAAAAGCTCCTGAAACAGCTTGCAGTACGCTGGAAATTACTTACTTGGAGAAAGACTGTCATTTTGATCCCTTTGTAGAATTAAGGTATTCTTTTATGTTTTTCTTTTGCGTATACTTGCTCTTATTCTTTGCCTGGTATTGATGTCAAATGGTGTTTCTGGAGGCCACAACCTTCTTTTTTCGTATTAATCAATACAAGAAGTATTTGCTCTTAAACTTATTCTTTCAAGATATCCAGTGTGGTATATAAAGACTGTCATTTTGACTTTGATTCAATGATCATTGCTAATTTATCTACTACTTCACTAAGTCAGAGAGACACTAAGTAAGCCCAAAAATAGCCAAACTTGAATAGACAACAAAATATATTACAAGGTTGGAGTTAAATTAGTGGGGTGTGCCAGGCCAAAGTAATAGTGCAGTACCAAGGCGACACTCAAAGACGCAAGTAGCAAGCTACCTTGATGGACCTTTCCCCTAGAAAAATTAAGTTAATATCGTGTGAGCCAATGGCTCACGTATCAGATATTAAACTAATAAGAACAGATACTACACTTGATCTTAGCCAAAAGGCCGAGAAAGGTATGTTTTTTCCCATTGACAACCCACTTCTTTTATATTGCTCATGCACAACCACATGGTTTCTACTATTTCAGTGTGGGACTTAAGGAACAGTGGGACAGTGTTAATTTGTATTGCTGATTATTGTATTCTAATAAGTTAAGAAACTTATGCAAAAATTAGTTAAGCAAAGTCTTGAAGATAACCATAAGACTAATATGTAGTCTAATTCTCACAAAGATGCAATTTGTTTGCATTTGCTATATCCTGAATTGTTCCTTTTGTATGTGGGGAATATATAATCAATTTATTTTTATGCTTTTCGGTGATATATTGTGGATAATACAAAGAATAAGCACATACGATTTACATATTCATATTAATATTCAGAACAAGTTTTTTTTTTTTTTCTTTTAATCCCTCCACCGGGAATGAAAATGTTTGAAATCAATAATGGGTAATGCTCTATTATAACTTGCCTCTGAATCAATGTTATTCCTATATTACTATGCAATAAGTTTTTTTTTTTTTTTTTTCCGTTGATTTATGGAAGCGCTTAAATACTCATTTTGGTGACACATCTGAGAAAAACATTGTGGGAAATTAACCTGTTAGGCAGATCCTAGATAAAAGACATTTTTGAGGGGCATGGTTTATTGAAAAATAAAAAAAATAAAAAAAAATCCTCAACATTGACTCACACGTCTTCATATCATCTATTTTGTGTGTTCTAACAGAGTTCAAGAGGTGATAAAGGCAACTTGTTCATCCTGAATTTGGCAGATACCTCTTATTGAGCTCCTATCTAAAATCTTGAAAGGTATTCTTATATGTTTTTCTTTTGGGTATGCTTGCTCTTATTCATTCATAAATTTATGGTGTTTGACCTTTTCGTTTGGTATTGATGTCAAATGGTGTTTCTGGAGGCCACAACCTTCTTTTTTCGTATTAATCAATACAAGAAGTATTTGCTCTTAAACTTATCTTTCATGATATCTAGTGTGGTATATAAAGAGTTCATTATGACTTTGATTCAATGATCATTGCTAATTAATCCGCTGCTTCACCAAGTCAGAAAGAAACTGTAATTAAGACCAAAAATAGACAACAAAAATATATTATTATTATAAGATGTTATTATTATATTATAAGATGTTGGAATGAAATTGATGGGGTGTGCCAGGCCAAGGTAATAGTGCAAAACCAAGACGACACTCAAAGGCCCAGGCAGCAAGCTATCTAAATGGGCCTTTCCCCTAAAAAAATTGAGTTAATATCGTGTGAGCCAATGACTCACGTATCAGATATTAAACTGATAAGAACAGATACTACACTTGATCTTAGCCAAAAGGCCGAGAAAGGTATGCTTTTTCTTATTGACAGCCCACTTGTTTTATATTACTCGTGTATCTTCATATTCTTTCTACATTATCAATGTGGGACACTGGGTCTTGAGCAAACACTGAGACACATACTAATTTGTAGTGCTTATTAGTGTGTATATATACCACATATCATCTACATATTCATATTAGTCTGCAGAAAAAAAGAAAATGTTTCTAGTCAATGATGGGCAATGATACTATGACTTTGCAAAAAAGATTTATTTTCTCTTCTTGATTTCTTGCAGGGATTAATTCACCTGTATTTATCACGTCTGTGTTTCTGCACATGCTAACATAAATTTAGAATGCTGCATTTCTATTAACTAAATTTGATGAGTCTGTCTTGTCTTTGCATATAGATATCGAAGATAAAAATGAACCAAATTTAATTGTTCGTCTCCCCTTGTTAGAAATAAAAGCCAATGTGAAGGAAACACGCAAAGACACATGAACAATGTAATCAAAAGCTGTAACTTGAAAGAGAAAGACTTTCTTCGAGAGCAAATCTCATGTAACGTGGGCTGTGAGATATTGAGTTAAATTGAAGGCTGACAGACCGACTTGGCAAATCAAAATTTTCCAAAATTTCATTCTATAGATTGGGAAACAAACTGCCTGATCTCTCCAATATCATCGGATCACTAGATTTCTGGTAAGTCAAATTTATATAAATGCTTGCTTAAGAGGTTAGACTAGAATTGATGGGGTGTGCCAGGCCAAGGTAACAGTGCAACACCAAGGCGACACCCAAAGGCCCAGGCAGCAAGCTACCTAAATGGGCCTTTCCCCTATAAAAATTGAGTTAATATCGAGTGAGCCAATGGCTCACGTATCAAATATTAAACTGATAAGAACAGATACTACACTTGATCTTAGCCAAAAGGCCGAGAAAGGTATGCTTAATACCATTGACAACCCACTATTTTTAATGCTCGTGTATCTTCACATTCTTTCTACATTATCAATGTGGGACACTGGGGCTTGAGCAAATAGTGAGACAATACTAATTTGTAGTGCCTATTGTGTATATATATATACCATATATTATCTACATATTCATATTAGTCTGCAGAAAAAAGAAAATGTCTTCTACCTCGAAAGAATGTTTCTAGTCAATGATGGGCAATGATATTATGACTTTGCAAAAATGGTTTTTTTTTTTCTTGATTTCTTGCGGGGATTATCTACCCATTGATTCACATGTATTTATCCTGTCTATGTTTCTGCACATGCTAACATAAATTTAGAATGCTGCATTTCTATTAACCAAATTTATTGAGCCTGTCTTGTCTTTGCATATGGATATCGAAGAAGAAAATGAACCAGACATTCCTCCAGAGTCCATGAGCCACTTCAACCCTTTTTGATGTTCTGAATTAGTACATCTGAAGACGAACAAACAATTGAGCAGGTTGGTCCTTCTTCATTTTATTTTTATTTTTTTCCATTGCTTTATTTTAGACCCTCTCATTGGTTGTTATACTACACATATCATCATTGTTAATTGTAACATGCCTTTTGCTCTCACTAGTTAATTGTTCGTCTTCCCCCCGTTAGCAATAAAAGCCAATGTGAGGGGTTTAGGAAACACGCGAAGACACATGAACAATGTAAGGAGATTATTTGTGTAGTTTTTGTTTCGACAGACTGACTTGGCAAATCAAAATCAAAAATTTTATTATTCTATAGATAGATGGGAACGAACTGACTGTCCACCACTCCAATATCATCTAATCTCAATAGAATTCTGGTAAGTCAAATTTACATAAATGCTTGCTCAAGATTAGACTAAAATTGGTGGGCTGTGCCAGGCCAAGGAAATAGTGCAACACCAAGGCAACACTCAAAGGCCCAAGCAGCAAGCTACCTAAACGGACCTTTCCCCTATAAAAATTGAGTTAATATCGTGTGAGCCAATGGCTCACGTATCAGATATTAAACTGATAAGAACAGATACTACACTTGATCTTAGCCAAAAGGCCGAGAAAGGTATGCTTTTGTCCATCGCTTTCCCACTTCTTATATATTGCTCATGCATCTTCACAGTCTTTCTACATTATCAATGTGGGACTTGAGCTACCAGTGGGACAATATTAATTTGTAGTGTTGATTAGTGTATTCTAAATTACTAATATGTTAAGAAAATTACGGAAAAATAGTTAGGCAAAGTCTTGGAAGCTATGCACCAAAGTGTGGAATATGATTCCAAGGCTATTTGGTAGTCTAATTCTCACAAAGATGCAATTTGTTTCCATGTGTTTGTGCGGAATAAATATTTTCTCCCACCGCATATCTGTTTGCACCTAAATTAACTCTTCTATTCCTTCTTCTTTTTTTTTTTCTTCCTGCATTTGAGGATAGATTTAACACCAGTAAATGCAAGAAAATGTGGCTGTAAAGTTTGATTACTTCAAAATTGCAGGCTGGTATGTACAATGCTGATATGTGTAAAGAGATATATTCAATTTATTTTATTACTCTTTTAGTGATATATAATATATTGTTGATATACAAAAATAAGCACATACAATTTACATATTCATATATTAATTAGCAGAAAAAGTTTTTTTTTCTTACAAAAAAAAAAAAAAATCCTTCCACCTGGAAATAAAATGTTTGAAATCAATAATGAGAAATGCTAATCTAACTTGCTTCTGAATCTAGGTTATTCCTCTATTTTTTTTTTGGGTGTAACCAGGGTTTCCACCGTCCCGGAAATTTAAGGCTGCTCCATACCCAAAGCCAATGATTGAACCCTTGACCTTTGGTTAAGGATGGATGAGACCCTTCCACTCAACCACACCCTCCAGGTTAGGTCATTCCTCTATGAATATGCCAATAAGATTTTTTTGTCATTTAGGTGACAGATACCCCAATAAAAGCTCCTGCTGGATTTTGCAGCTCCTATTCAATTGACAGGTTTAGACCTCACCAAAATATCTGGCTGCTCTACGTCAGAGACTAAAAGAGCAGTTTCAAGACACACTTTCTGAGTTATAAAGACCAAAAAATAGTAAAATCTTTAGAGACAATGTAAATAAATCATAAGATGTTTGGATAAAATTGGTGGGGTGTGCCAGGCCAAGGTAATAGTGGAAAACCAAGGCGACACTCAAAGGCCCAGGCAGCAAGCTACCTAAATGGGCCTTTCCCAAAAAAAAATTGAGTTAATATCGTGAGAGCCAATGGCTCACGTATCAGATATTAAACTGATAAGAACAGATACTACACTTGATCTTAGCCAAAAGGCCGAGAAAGGTATGGTTTTTCCCATTGACAGCGCACTATTTTTATATTGCTCGTGTATCTCCACATTCTTTCTACATTATCAATGTGGGACACTGGGGCTTGAGCAAACAGTGGGCAATACTAATTTGTAGTGCTTATTAGTGTGTGTGTATATATATATTTACACCACATATCATCTACATATTAATATTAGTCTGCAGAAAAAAAAGAAAAATGTCCTCTACCTCGAAAGAAAATGTTTCTAGTCAATGATGGGCAATGATACTATGACTTTGGAAAAAAGATTTATTTTCTCTTCTTGATTTCTTGTAGGGATTAATTCACATGCATTTATCCCGTCTATGTTTCTGCACATTCTAACATAAATTTAGAATGCTGCATTTCTATTAACCAAATTTGATGAGCATGTCTTGTCTTTGCATATGGATATCGAAGATAAAAATGAACCGACAGTTTTCAAGAGATACATCCACATCGGTACACACATTCATCCCGAGTCCATGAGCCACTTCAACCCTTTTCGATGTTCTGAATTAGTACATCTGAAGACGAACAAACGATTGAACAAGTTGGTCCTTCATTTTCTTTTTATTTTTTTCCATTGATTTATTTTAGGCCACTGATTGGTTCTTATACTACACATATCATCATTGTTTATTGTAACATGCCGTTTGCTCTCACTAGATTATTGTTCGTCTCCCCCTGTTAGAAATAAAAGCCAATGTGAAGGAAACACGCAAAGACACATGAACAATGTAATCAAAAGCTGTAACTTGAAAGAGAAAGACTTTCTTCAAGAGAAAATCTCATGTAACGTGGGCTGTGAGTTGAAAGGGATTATGTGTAGTTTTCATTTTGACAGAACAACTTGGCAACTGTAGATTGGGAAGGAACTGCCTGTCCACTCCAATATCATCAGATCTCACTTGAATTCTGGTAAGTCAAATTTACAAAAATGCTTGCTTATTTTTTAGACTAGAATTGATGGGGCGTGCCAGGCCAAGGTAACAATGCAACACCAAGGCGACACTCAAAGGCCAAGGTAGCAAGCTACCTAATTAGGCCTTTCCCCTAAAAAAATTGAGTTAATATCGTGTGAGCCAATGGCCCACATATATCAGATATTAAACTGATAAGAACAGATACTCAATCGTTATGCTGTGCATCCGTATGCACCATGCATGGTGCATACGGATGCAAAAACGACGTCGTTTTATTAAAAAACGCGCGTCTCTCCTTTAAAAAAATTCAGATTCGATTCCCAGCAACAACATTATATTATTCATTCATTCTGGAATTATAGTTCATTGATTATGGAATTATAGTTCATCGATTATGGAATTGTAGTTCATCGATTCTGAAATTTTAGTTTATAGATTATGGAATTTTAGTTCATTCATTCTGAAATTTTTAGTTCATAAATTAGATTATGAAATTATAGTTCATCGATTATGGAATTTTAGTTCATATGTTGTTGCTGAGAATCAAACCTGATTTTTTTTTTCTTAAGGAGAGACACGCGTTTTATTAAAATGACACCGTTTTTCATCCGTATGCACCATGCATGGTGCATACGGATGCACAGCATAATTTGCCACAAATACTACACTTGATCTTAGCCAAAAGGCCGAGAAAGGTATGCTTTTCTTCGTCGTCGACAGCCCCCTTCTTTTATATTGCTCTGCATAACCAGATGCTTCTACATTTTCAATGTGGGACTTAGCAAACAGTTTGACAATGTTAATACTGCATTTCAATCAATTAAATTTGATAAGCCTGTGTGCATATACATCTGAGAAAAAATATTGTGGGAAATTATCCTGTTACAGAGATCGTAGATAAAATACATCTGATTGTTTTTTAGGGGAATGGTTTATCAAAAAAAAAAAAAACATCCACATCATTGATTCGTATTGGCATAAGTGGTTGTGCACTCTCATCCCTTAAGAGTCGGGTGGGAGATTGACCTTTTTATGGTGATTGACCTTTTTGCTTGGTATTGATGTCAAGTGGTGATTCTGGAGCACACAACCTATTTTTGTTCTTATTACTCAATCAATGCCAAGAAGGATTTGCTTTAAACTTGATTCTTTCAAGGTAGCTAGTAGTGTGGTATGTAAAGACTGTCATTTTTGTCCCTTTGCTTGCTTGAAGGGTGCAGAACCACAACCATCAAGTATTAGATTCAGACAGATTCAACGAGCAGGATATTATAAAATGTTGGAATGAAATTGGTGGGGTGTGCCAGGCCAAGGCAATGGTGCAATACCAAGGCGACACTCAAAGACCCAAGTAGCAAGCTACCTTGATGGACCTTTCCTCGAGAAAAATTGAGTTAATATCATGTGAGCCGATGGCCCACGTATCAGATATTAAAATCCCCCCGTCAGGAATGAAAATGTTTGAAATCAATAACGGTTAATGCTAATCTAACTTGCTTTTGATTCTAGGTTATTCCTCTATGACTATGCGAATAAGATTTTTTATTTTTATTTCCCATTGTTGATTTATGGCGGTACTTAAATACTCATTTTGGTGACAGATATGAATAAAAGCTCCTGAAATAGCTTGCAGTATGCTGGATATTACTTACTTGGAGAAAGACTGTCATTTTGATCCCTTTGTAGAATTTTCTCTCTAAAAATTATGGTAAAAATCTGCTTTGATTCAAAGTACCCATTAAATCTTCTTTTATATCTAATTTGCCTTCACATCCTTGCCTACAGGATTTGTTCTTGACCCCACCAAAATATATCTGCAGCACTAAGTCAGAGAAACTAAAAGAGCAGTTGTATGACACACTTTCTGATTAACTAAAACTAAAAAAAAACACAGACAATGCAAAGATAATACACACATATATATCATAAGACATTGGAATAAAATTGATGGGTTGTGCCAGGCCAAGGTAATAGTGCAACACCAAGGCGACACTCAAAGGCCCAAGTAGCAAGCTACCTAAACAGGCCTTTACCCTATAAAAATTGAGTTAATATCGTGTGAGCCAATGGCTCACATATCAGATATTAAACTGATAAGAACAGATACTACACTTGATCTTAGCCAAAAGGCCGAGAAAGGTATGTTTTTCTTCAATGACAGCCCACTTCTTTTATATTGCTCGTGCTTCACATTCTTTGTTCATTATCAATGTGGGATAATATTAATTTGTAGTGCTGATTATTGTTCTAAATTTCTAATATGTTAAGAAAATTACGGAAAATTAGTTAGCCAAACTCTTTGAAGCAATGAGTATGCATGCACCAAAGTCTTGAAGATGACTCCAAGGCTATACGGTAGTCTAATTCTCTCAAAGATGCAATTTGTTTGCATTTGCTATACCCAAAATTGTTTCCTTTAGCCAAACTTGCAGAGACAATGCAGATATCGTAAGACTATGCAAACTAGGTATATTTCCATTCTTTATTTCTTCTAGTGATTATACACTCATCCATTAATTGGTGAAACATATGACAATTTAAGGCCGAAGTAGCAAGCTACTTTATTCATTCATAAAATTATGGTGTTAACTAGCTTGGTTGGCATAAGTGGCCGTCCACTCTCATCCGTTAAGAGAAGTTGGGAGTTCAAAACCCCCTCTTGTATAGAAAAACCAATATGTCCAACACTTTACCCCATAGTTGAGTTGGTCTGGTGCGAACGGTGATTAGTCTGAGTATGGAACGATATATATATATATATATATATATATATATATTATGATGATTGACATTTTTGCTTGGTATTGATGTCAAGTGGTGTTTCTGGAGCACACAACCTATTTTTGTTCTTATTACTTGTTGGAATTTTTAGCTAAGAATGGCATTTTGAGTGATTATTTTGTGGTACAAATATATGTGGGATCCACTTCGGCACTTCCGATTTGGGTCGGGTCAAAGTGGATTCGGGTTCTTCGTAGTGAGACGAAGAATTTGATATAATGTACGCTCAAAATGGGTAATAGGTGAATGAGAAATTGATTCTCAAAGTGGACCTATTGGAGAGAAGTCAAAAACTTAAGTTTAAATGCTAATTAGAAATAAGCATTTTAATAACTTTCGTTGCACTGCACGAAAGTTGTAGAGCTTAAGTGTAATTAAGCTTTGGTTGCTTAATTAGTGAATTGGGATTTTTAGCACCTTTCGTGCTATGCTTTCATGCTGGACGAAAGTGCATGCAAAATTGAAAGCTTAATTATAAGCTTTAGTTTCATGCTGAAAGTTGGAGTTGTGAGCTCCTTTCGTGCTCTCCTTTCGTGAGCTACTTTCGTGCTGAGCACGAGTCAATGCTATATGCATTGATTCGTGCTGCACCGTTTCGGTGCGTGTGGACCACTCGGGTGTGGTTTTCGGTCCCAATTCGTTAAACCTTCGGGTTTGTACAGACTTCTTGGTCACTCAGATATTTTGAAACAGGTCGTTGTGGTCGGTACGAATTAATCGCGTATTAAGTTCGTGACCGTTGGAATTATTACGATAATAATTACGACCGTTTCAAACGTTATTATCCAATTATTAAATTTTGAATTTATGTTGGTTAATGGCCATGAATATGCTTTAATTCCCTTCTCCTACAAATAGCTTGGTGGTTGGCAGAATGTTTTGCTGCGAGCTTTGAATCAATCAAAATTCTTTTGTTTTCTCTCAACTCTCATCTAGTTTACAAAAGAAAAGAAATTCTGCCGAACATCTTCCGTAAAACATCGGAGTGCTCAGCTTGTGTTCTAGTTCGCCGGGCTTTGGGTTGGAGTGCTCGAACGCCAAAGTCGTAGTCCGTTTTATCCTGGGAGACTGACGCCACAACGATCCTAGCACCCTCGGGAGGTGGCGAATCGGTTTTAAGGAGAGTGTGTGTACACACGACTCGGGCTTCATCATCATCTTCTTCTTCTTCTTCTTCTTCTTCTTCTTCTTCACGTTGGGTTAAACCTCAGGTTAGAAACCCATTCTTGCTTTTATTTTGTTCTTGGTTTCGGACCAAGTGGTGGGATTAATCTCGGATAGATTAAATCCCTGTACTAGTTTCGTACTAGTTGTGGTGGGATTAATTTCTTGGAAATTAAGTCCCGTGTTCTAGTTTCGTACTAGTTGTGGTGGGATTATTTTGATAAAATAAATCCCTAGTTAGTTAATATATATACGAGGTATATATATGTAATTTTGGTTTCGTACCAAAATTGGTTGGAATTAATTTTGTACAAATTAAATTCCATCTTTCGGGACAAATATATATATTTATATATATTTTGTGTATCGATTTATTCACCATTTTCCAACATTACTCAATCAATGCAAGAAGGATTTGCTCTTGGTATTGATGTCAAGTATTCTTTTCTGCAGGTGACAGCAGATTTAACACCCGCGAATGCTGGTGCCTCTTATTGAGCTCCTCGCTAAATTCTTGAAAGGTAATCCCTACAGGATCAATACCGAACATGCGTTTTAATAAGTTCGGAGAATTTTAGCAGCTTATGTTCAAATACTTGAGTTTATTCTTTATAAATGCAATCATCATCAAACACTAAAACGGAAAAGAATTTACTCTGTAGATTGCAGCAAGAAAGTGACAATGGACTGTCTGGTTGCAACTTCCAGCCATGACTAATAGGTTTCTACTACCAATCACAACTAACAGGCAGCTACTGGCTGTAACAATTAGCATGTTTTCATCCGTGTTTTAAAACATAACACATTGAAAATTGTTTTGTCTTCTTTATGGATCGATGAAAAGAATGGAACGATTATGACTATTATTATCATTTAATCTCTTAACTATTGTTATGCTTCTTGGTTTTAGCCCAGGCAAACTAGGCTGGTTTAGTGGATCTTAGCGAAAAGGCCGAGAAAGGTTTGTTTTTTTTTTTTTCCCATTGATTTATGGCAGTTCGCTGGATGTTACGTACTTGGATGAAGAGCTGAGGTAAGCAAAAAATATGTTCTTTGTACACATGCAAACACAAGTTTAAAAGTCTGCATTTCAATCAATTAGATTGGATAAGCCCGTGTGCATACATCTGATAAAACACATCTAACCGTTTTTGAGGAGCATGGTTTATGAAGAAAAACATCCACAACACTGATTCATCTCATCTATGTTGTATTCTTCATGTTCTTTTTTGCAGAATTTTCTTTCTTTAACAGTTTAGAACATACTATAGTGGTATTTCTAAATTTACTTAAACAAACAATGAAATATATTATAAAATGTTGGAACAAAATTGGTGAGGTGTGCTAGGCCAAGGCAATAGTGCAATACCATGGCGACACTTAAAGGCCCAGATAGCAAGCTACCTTGATGGGCCTTTCCCCTAGAAAAAATTAAGTTAATATCGTGTGAGCCAATGACTCACGTATCAGATATTAAACTGATAAGAACAGATACTACACTTGATCTTAGCCAAAAGGCCGAGAAAGGTATGCTTTTCTCAATTGACAGCCCACTTCTTTTATATTGCTCGTGCATCTTCACATTCTTTCTACATTATCAATGTGGGCCGTAAGCAAAGTGGGACAATATTAATTTTTAGTGCTGATTATTATTCTAAATTTCTAATATGTTAAGAAAATTACGGAAAAATAGTTAGCCAAACTCTTTGATGCTATGAGTATGCACCAAAGTATTGAAGATGACTCCAAGGCTATATGGTAGTCTAATTCTCTCAAAGATGCAATTTGTTTGCATTTGCTATACCCAAAATTGCTTCCTTGCGTTTGTAGGGAATAAATATTTTCTCATGTCGTCCATATCTGGTTGCAGCTATATGAACTCGTCTATTCACTTTTTCTGTAGGTGACGATGGATTTAACACTAGTAAATGTAAGAAAGGTGGCTGTAAAGTTTGATTACTTAGGGCTGGTATGTATGCTGATAAGTGTTAAGGAGATATGTTCAACTTATTTTTATCCTTTGCAAATATTGTAAGACTATCCAAACCAGGTTTATTTCCATTCTTAATTTCTTCTAGTGATTATATACTCATCCATTAATTGGTGAAACATGTTTTACTAAAATTGGTGAGGTTTGCCAGGCCAAGGTAATAGTGCAATACCAAGGCGACAAATTAAGGCCCAAGTAGCAAGCTACTTTAATGAGCACTATGAGCCTTCCCCTTAAACAAAATGAGTTAATATCATGTGAGCTAATAGCTTACGTATCATATATTAAACTGATAAGAACAGATACTACACTTGATCTTAGCCAAAAGGCCGAGAAAGGTATGTTTTTCTTAGTAGACAATCCCTGTATCAGATATTAAACTGATAAGAACAAATACTACACTTGATATGATCTTAGCCAAAAGGCCGATCAGATATTAAACTGATAAGAACAGATACTACACTTGATATGATCTTATCCAAAAGGCCAATAAAGGTATGCTTTTCTTAGTAGACAACCCCTTCTTTTATGTTGCTCATGCAAATTCGAAACTTGAGCAAATGGTGAGACAATACTAGTTTCTAGTACTTATTAGTATATATGATCTAATGACCACATATGTAGAAAACATTTCCAGTCAATAATGGGCAACGATATTATGAGTGCAAATAAGATTTTCGTTTCCTCTTCTTGATTTCTTTTCTTGCAGTGATTATGGAGACCAAAGAACATTCCCTAACGGTAAAAATCTGTAGTGGTGTACGGTAAAAACATTCCCTAACGGTAAAAATCTATAGTGGTGTACAGTAAGCAGCAAAAAGATTGGGGCGACACTTAGAGGCCCAGGCAGCAAGCTACATAAACGGGCCTTTACCCTATAAAATTAGCTACATAAACGGGCCTTTACCCTATAAAATGCTGTGGTGTACGGTAAAAACATTCCCTAACAGTAAAAATCTATAGTGGTGTACGGTAAAAATCTATAGTGGTGTACAGTAAGCAGCAAAAACATTGGGGCGACACTCAGAGGCCCAGGCAGCAAGCTACATCAACGGGCCTTTACCCTATAAAATTAGCTACATAAACGGGCCTTTACCCTATAAAATTTGAGTTAATATCGTGTGAGCCAATGGCTACGTATCAAATAGTATTTGTTATTTGTTATTAGCCAAAAGGTCGAGAAAGGTATTTTTTTTTTTTTTTTTTTTTTTTTTTTTTGTAGACAGTCCACTTCTGCTATGCACCACTGTATCAAATAGTATTTGTTATTTGCCCCACTGTTTTTTATCAATGTGGGACTTCAGCAAACAGTGGGGCAATACTTATTTTGTATTTAAGAAACTTAAATAAAAAAATTGTTTAGCAAAGTCTTGGAAGCGATAATCATGAGACTAATTTGTAGTCTAATTGTCACGACAATACAATTTGTTTGCATTTTTTATATGTTGGAAAAAATAGCTTAAAATGACATGTTAAGTGGCTATTTTGTAGTATAATTATCAGTGTGGTCCACTTTCGATTTGGGTCGAGTCAAAGTGGATTCGGGTTCTTCGTAGTGAGACGAAGAGATTGATATATTGTACGCTCAAAACGGATAACTTATAACTTATGTTTTTTGACAGATATTTGCTGATCATGAAAGATATTGAATTTGGCACAACCTAATTTATATTGTGTTTGCTGATCCAACAGTGTTTTTGGAATGTATGAAATCTCTTTTATTAACATTAAATATTTATATAACTTAAAAAATTGAATTTTTATATTGTTTTTAACCTGTCAACTAGGATTTGTGTGTTAGAGCATTTGACCAGCTAAGCACACAGAATCCCATATATCTATCAAAATGATTCCATGAACTTCATAGTGTTGTTGGAAAGAAATAAATTTTGAATGATGATTAAGGATGAACATTGTAAACTATTTCAAGTACTTATATAGAGGAAATAGGCTTGCTAATTACTTGTTAATATTTTAAACAGTTCACATCCTGACATTCTTTTGGCACCATTTAAATTGCCTTATTAAATATTTTCCTTATTTCTAGTACCTCAGCAAACCTTTTTTAGAAATGCCATATTGTTGCATATTTTAAAATACTTGGATGATTTGCTCAATTTTTTATTTGAATCAATGACCTTGTGATCTAGTGATACGAATGAGATCGAGTCTCAGTGAGAGCAATATTGACTTTTTGTGTTTCAATAGATTGAGAAAATAGTTATAAACAAATATTATATTGTAAGAGCTAGTAATACTAAAAAAAAAAAAATTAGGATTTGATGTAAAAATGTCACCATAGGCGATAAAAGTTAAATGTGAATAAGCAAAGAAAATATAATGTAGGCATTAACTAATTTTTATTTATTTACTTTGTGGGGGTAAACTATTTCTTATATTTTCTGAAGAAAAGGGTGGTAGGTGTGATTACATTGGATTGGAACACTGCTGGAAATTCTGTTATTTCCGTCCAACGAAAATTGGACGGAAAACGGGGTTTATTGGTCGGAAAACAAGTTTCCGTCCAACATTCTGTCCAAAATGAGACCTCGGAAAATTGAACACTGGTAATTCTGTCCAACATCAGATGTCGGTCAGAAGTTACGTCCAATAGGTCAAAGTTGTACGAAAAATCCGGATGGTAACCCACCATTTTTAGGATGGGAATTTCCGTTCAACTTTGACCCGTTGGACGGAAATTCTGGATGGCAATCCACTATTTTAGGATGGAAACTAGGGGTGTAAATGAGCCGAGCCGCTCGCGAGTCGCTCATGAGCAGTTCGGTCAACGCTCGGCTCGAACTCGGTCAAAATTGAGCTCGGCTCGAACTCGAGCAGCTCATGGATTAAACGAGCACGAGCCGAGCTTAGGTATTGTAAGCTCGCGGCTCGACGAGCCGCTCGCGAGCCTCATAATATATTATATAATATATAATATATAATATAATTATATTATAATTAGTATATAAAAATAATAATTAGCGGAGAGAAATTAAAATATTTTAATAATTATGTATGGATAAAAGTCATAAAACAAAGTAGTTTAAATTTTAAATCAAACAGGTCAAATTCCAGATCAAAATTGAGCTCAAATTCGAGCCTAAACTCGAGCTCGAATTCGAGCCTGAACTCGAGCTCAAGTTCAGGCTCGAATTCGAGCTCGAGCTCGAGCAGCTCGACAATTGCCGAGCTCGAGCTCGAGCATCAGTTCACAAGCTCGAATGAGCTCGAGCTCGAGCTCGAGCAGTGCTATCATTAACGAGCACGAGCATGAGCCTACCCATGCTTGGGCTCGGCTCGACTCATTTACACCCCTAATGGAAACTTCCGTCCAACTTTGACCTGTTGGATAGAAATTCCGACCAACAGGTTGGTCAACAATTGTGACTAACTTTGACCCGTTGGACGGAAAATCCGGATGGTAACTCTCATTCTAAAATGAGAATTTCCATCCAACTTTGAACCGTTGGATGGAAATTGTGACTATTGATTTTGGCAGGAAAATATCAATTTATATAAATTATTGTTTTTTTTTTTTTTTTATTTTGATCTTGCTATAATATTTTTTTACCTGTTGTCAATAGATTATATATCATAAACAAAGTAATTACACACTATCTAAATTCAAAATGAAAATACTTAAAAATATCAAAATTATTTACAACCAAAAG